CTATGAAGAGCAGTCAGGGGATGCTCAAGAATTAGAGCTGCTAGGAGAGAGCAATGCTCAGGGAGAGGGTAGGGTTGAGATTCCAGCCTGGGAGTGGCCTGCCAAAGCGGGAAAGGCCCTGACGAAGGCCACAAAGGAGTCAGAGAAACATCTATGTGAAATCAGGAAATTAAGCTACAGTTGTCCTCCCAACCTTGGGTGAGTGTGCAATACTGTCTCTGTTTTCAGGATTGGATACTATTTTCTTAATGCAAGATCCCTACTTCACATAATGGCCAGGTGGGACAGGGAATGTATCAAATGAGTCAGCAGTCCTGTTGTAAAATAGTATATGATGGTAGAATTCAGGGCTGCACTATAATGAACGTGCATGAAATTAGCTTTACACAGAAAAGCTTATCTTTAGCATTTATTGAATTATTGATGTTCTTTAAAAGTAGTGTGTGTCTGTCCAAGGAGAAAATTTCCTCCATTTTTATGGTTGTTTTTATGAAAACGCAGGCCATAGAGGAGACCTTGTAATAAAATGGTTAGTGGACGTGGGCGAGAAGTGCTTAAACTGGTTACTTTAGAGCAAGCATTTCCATATTTTTATGTCCTTGTTAAGTTTCTTCATTTGTAAGCTGGAGCTACCGTTAGTGTTTGGAGAGCTGCTTAACTCCAGGTAAACATTTAAAAAAAAATCCTTCACATACAGAAAGCCTTGAAGAAAAATTGAGCTGTGTTCTTAGGAAGAAATGGAACATTCTAGCATTCTTTCACTTTTCTTTAGCAGGAAATAAATGCCATTGACTAGCTAAGTATGTGAGATGTTTGCCTGAACTCTGTTGCTCTTCCTTACATACTGACTTTATTAAGAAAAAAGTGCTGCTTTTGACTTTCCCTGGAAATCAAGGCTGCCAAATAAATAAGCAAATTGTTCCTTTGCCTACAAAGATACCGAAAACAAATGTGAACACTCTTCAGAACAGATGATGTTCGTAGTTTTGCTGCACGCAGTTCTTCGTTCTGCCACCAAGCTAGAATCGTACAGGCAGCATTTTGAAATTAGCTTCCCTGGCTGGGTTAACAGGCTCAGCCTGGTGGGTGAGGCTCATATGAATACTCTAAAACTAGCGGTAGAGACAGTGCTTTGAAGTTGTAGCTCGTGCTTTGAAGCTTCTGGAGAAGGGTGGGCTCAGGAGACTGAGCTGTAACTTCAAATCACTGGCTAGTCAGCTGGTTTTACAGCATTAGCATGAGCCCCTCCATCCTAATTTTGTCAACCCGAGCTGGGGGAGACACTCCAAAAGGTCACGTCGACATTCCCTAAAGGTACGTCAACACGGCGAATACTCCCAGCTGGCCTGGCTTAGCTGATTCTGGCTCCTGGGGCTTGGGCAGTGGGGCTTTAAAATTGTTGAGCAGATAGTGGGACTCAGGTCGTAGCCTGTGCTCTGGGATCATCCCCCCTCGTGAGGCTTCAGCCCAGACTCCAGGCTGATCCCAAACATCTATGCCAGAATCGAACAGCTCTGCAGCCTGAACCCTAGTCAGCTGACCTGGGCCATAGGTGCTCTATTCCACAACAGAGTTGTATTTCTTACGAATAAAATCTGTGACTTTTATTACTTGAAAGTCCACAATATGCCCAGTTTTTGAAATTGTTCTATGAATTTCAAGCATCTACATTTGAATGTTTTAATCCCCCGTTAGTATATGTGATAAGGTAGATTTCCTACTCTGCTTAGGGTTGCCAAGTGTCCCGTATTTTTGCCTCCTGTCCAGTAAAAAAAAAAAAATACTGGACACCTAAAATGTTTGGCACGTTCTGATTTTTTTTCCTGTCCTGGAGGCAGCCTGGAAACCCTAGTGCTTACTGGGTTCTGCAGGGAAGCTCTCCAGCCCGTGCAGGGAGGCAAGATGTCAGGTGGCTGCCAGCAGCCTGTTAGGGCCAAAAAGCCTTACCACACGTTTTTTAAAGGGGCCATGCTGATTTTTTTTTCTTAATCGCTCTCAGGGACTTTGTGTGTATGTATTTTTTCAGAAACCATCTGGGAACCCTAGCTCTGTTGTAAAAGTGTGCATATACACCACATATTGGAAGTAGTCTTAAATAACTTTCTCCCCTAGTTAACCTAAATAACAAAAAAAAATCAAATCTATAAAAATGAATAGTCCTGTGGCACCTTTGAAACTAACCAAAAAATACAAAATCATGAGCTTTTGTGGGTAAAACCCACTACATCAGATGAATGCAAGTGGAAATAACAGAAATCAAGATATGTATAACAACAAAAGAAGCACCTGTCAATTGTAGGACCTGTGTTAATAAGGCTGAGTAAGTGGGCTGGATGTGTCCTATTTGTAGCTTTTAATGTGAAAATGAGGATGTTAAAGACAGGGAAAATTGGCTTTGTGTAGACTAACACGGCTACCCCTCTGAGACTTTAAAACATATCTATGTTCTCTTGTTAAGCTTAGCTGTTCCAAGGGTTTACTGCAGTAAGACGTACACACCCTTATCTAGACCTGTAATGGCCCTAACTCTACCTACCTTTTCTGGCTGCCATCATATGTCCGCAAAATTGCCTGTATCTCTGTGCAGACACCTAGGGTTTACATTCTTTCGAAGTAGACAGTGGCCATTAACACGTGATTCTGGAATCCATATTGGGATGATAGTTGTACTAACAGGTCCGCACAAAGAATTTCACTTTATCTCCCTTGGTTCTATGTGAATGATGCATTGTGTTTTGTTTTACCTTCAAACAAACATGTTTACAGGATTTCTATCTTTAACATTGTTGATACGGCACAAGTGAGATCAGTGTTATACAATGTGTTTACTGGTCTGGCTTTGATTTGGGAGGTGGTTGAGCTAGGTATATCTCCATATATTAAAAAAAAAAAATGTCTCATAGAGCTGGAAGGGACATTGAGTCCAGCCCTCTGCCCCCATAGCAGGACCAAGTACCATCCCTGACAGATTTGCCCTGGATCCCTAAATGGCCCCCTCAAGGATTGAACTCATAATCCTGGGTTTAGCAGGCCAATGCTCAAACCACTGACCTACCCTTCCCCCCAAAAGCCTTAGAGGCACATGGTACTGAACAGGAACATAAGATGCATTTCTTGCCTTACAATTGAAGTGAGAGCCTACAGATGAAAAAAGTAGAAAAAAATTAGATGTGGCACAAAATTGTGTAAATTGAATTGTGGTGTTATTCATAAAGACATCAAGGTCATTTCTACTTTCAGAATGTAAAAGAGACAGACAAAATTTCAGTCCTCGGTATATTTTCCTTTTTTGTTTTATCAGCATATCAGTCATTTTCTGTAGGATATGTACATTTAATTTAATTTTTCATTCTCTTGATGGTGCGGTGATGTTCTGGCTTGAGTTCCGAGCATTAGGATTCTGGGCAAACCTACACTTCATGTTTACAGGAAATCTGTTTTGTGCTAGTTGTGGGATCTTCTTTGTCTTCTCAATACGAACAAATTTCTGCTGCTGACACATTCACTTGTTTAATATAGGCTAGTTACAGTTCTTTGTTTTCTGCAGCCCCAGCGTGACTTACAATAGTTCTGAAATGCAACATATTAAATATTTCTGTAAGACTTTCCACAGATCTTGAAGCACTTTACAAAAATAAATAGGTGTTATTCTCATTTTACTGATGGAAGCCCTTTGGCATAGCCATCTTAAAGCTCTGTTGCACGTACTTGTGTTGCTGAGGACTTGCCCTGTAGGAGGAGTTCCATTAGAAGTGTTGTAAAGTATATGTACAACGGTGCTCTAAGTGGTTTGCCCAAGGTCAGAACTGTGAAAGATCTCCTAGTCGTAGGAGCATAGCTGCACTGCCATGATAATGATCCTGGAACCTCATGGAGCAGATGTGGACGTCAGTGATGAAAGGGGTTTTTCCATTGCTGTAGGAACACTGTCTCCCCAAGCAATGATAGCAGTGCTTCACTTATGCCAGAGCTTGCCAGGCTGAGCCCTGGGACCTCTGGACTTGCTGTGTTACTTATGAAAGTAAAAAAGAATTGCTTGAGCCCCAGTAACTGTCTCCATTACAGAACAAACACTGAAGCATTCTTCCATCGACTTCACTGCTTCTGCATCAGGAGTTAGACCAACATAGCAGTGGTACCCAGGGGGTGGATTTTTCTCAGTCTTGGTTCTGTTGATCTGAGGCTTAAGTGTGGATCAGGCCTAATGCCATGTGCCACAGCACACTGTCTCCAGTGTAACACCATACTCTCTGGCAGGGACACAAGAGGGTGCAACATATTACTTGACTGCTGAAGTCTCATGGTGGGGCTCCTATTAAATTCTGCATTGATTTTTAGACTCTTAATGAATCGTTCCATCATATGACTCATCTTCTTTTCCCATATATTCCCAGCAGATCACTTCAGTTCAAAATAGTTGACTGTTTAATTGGCCCTGAATATAGTCTTGAAACAGCCACAGCTAGAAGATGGTGTGTGTGTCTGTCCTTTGGCGAGGGAATGCAGCTATTGCTGCTATTCATAATTCTCATTCTGTTAGAATTTAAAACTAGTGTAAAGAATTGTTTTCTGCTTGTTTTAATTGTTCTTCATCCCTGGCAACGATAGCTATAATTTTCAAAGGAACCTAAGGCAGCTAGGTGCCCAATTCCCATTGAATTGTAATGGAAGTTGGGTGCCTTACTCCTTTAGTCTCCTTTGAAAATCCCAGGCTACATTGCTATTTTGTTTTTACAGTGCTTGGTGTGCTTATAGAGGTGGGTGAATAATGGGTTTATAATTGGCCATTCCAAAAAAAATTCCTCCATTGTAAGGTTTAGCCCAATGCTTAGGACACTGACCTGTTATAGGGGAGACCTAGGTCCAGTCCTCTGAGATGTAGTTAAAAGGATTTGAACGTGGATCTGCCTTCTTGAAATCCATGTGGTTTCATTGTATATTGAGTTGATATTCCAAAGTCTAGATAAGCATTAACTTGTCTCCTACCCTTATATTTAAAGCACCACCTGAATTTCTGAAGAAGCCTGCTAATATTTATGCTCGTGAATCTATGGATATTGTCTTTGAGTGTGAAGTGACTGGGAAGCCAACTCCAACAGTGAAATGGGTCAAGAATGGAGACATGGTGATCCCTAGTGACTACTTCAAAATTGTAGTAAGTACATTTTTGTTTTCAGTCGTTTCAACCTGCTGATGTATGCCTTAATCCTCCTGCATAGGTGCATAGAAGCCATGTTCTTTTACGGGGTCAGTTGCCTGTTTTTATAGGAGTATAGTTAAGGTCCAGAAGCATTAAATTGTTTCTTGAATTCTTTATTGCTGTGTAATCCAGTGTGAAGCATTGACGAGCATGGGTTCTGTGTTCCTTATACCATAAGATAGCCTGTTTCTTCATAGCATGCATCTTTTATGTGAGAAATGCACAGTAATGAATTAGTTGGTGAAAGACAGTCTATGAGTTTGAATTTGACCAACCGTGGTCCTTGTCGTACTATGTAAAACTGGCAAACCATGAGGTCTATTTGTACATGGATTGCCTGAGTTTTATGTAGTCACTGTGGCAGCACAAGAATTAAAATCTCAAAGATCTACCACGGACATTTGCTTGTAATATAATCCTGAGTTTTGGCTGATGAAACCTTAAGTTTTAATGAAATTCATTATCGAGAGAGAGATTTTAAAGACTTAATCTGAGGCTACAAGATTGTGCAGATGAGACTTGAGTTCCCCGCATGGAGCTGTCTTTTAGAACTATTTTTTGTTGTACTTAAATAATTGATAAAAGCGGCAAGGAGTCCTGTGGCACCTTATAGACTAACTGCAGTGTAGGAAGCTTTCGTGGGCAAAGACCCACTTCATCAGATGCATGCATCTGATGAAGTGGGTCTTTGCCCACGAAAGCTTCCTACACTGCAGTTAGTCTATAAGGTGCCACAGGACTCCTTGCCGCTTTTATCAATTATTTAAGTACAACAAAAAATAGTTTGATACAGGATAATATATGGGCCAGTTCTTAACTTCAGAATGTTGGGGCCTGGCTATCATTTCCATAGCCTATTAGCAATAGCTTAGTGCTGATTCGGGGTGCAGCCATTGGAAGATTCAAAGTAACCAATATTTTACTTGGAACAGGTATAACAGTCATGAGGGCAGAAGAGAACGCCAAAGCCTTTTTTGTACCCTGTTATAATATTTGGGAGTTTTATCCAAAAGTCATAGAACACCATTGAAAAGCTCCCGGGCTTGCATTTAGAGTTCATTTTTAATGAATACATCATGAAATGTTGCCTCTTTTCCTTTCAGAAAGAACATAATCTGCAGGTTTTGGGCCTTGTGAAATCAGATGAAGGATTCTATCAGTGCATTGCAGAAAATGACATTGGAAATGCGCAGGCTGGAGCCCAGCTGATAATACTTGAACATGGTAAGAAAAACTGGGGAACCGTGATACCAGAAGGTGGAGAAGAGCAGACTCAAGGGGCTTTTCTGCATGAGGCAATATGTCCAAAACTTGGCAAAGCCATAAAGCCTTTTTCAAGCCCTTGTTGTTTGAGTGAAGTGTTTTTACTGTACATCAATAGGGTTTTTTAAAGAGTGAACCCCAAATGCCAGTATAGTCTCCCTTTATATGGAAAATATACTGTGTTATCCTGGAATGTTTAATAATAAAAAAGAACTGCAACAAAGCCAGACTAAGAGAACACAGTGGCACAGCTACAAAAAAACAGAGTGGGCATAGCTGGATTAATTCAGATAAAATTCATTTCAATTTCAGAGGCTATTCTCCTCTATCAGAATTTATTTGTTTGGTCCCCAACCTTTTTAAGCGTGAGATCACTTTTTGAATTTAAGTGCAATCTAGGATCTACTTCAAATCCAAACACTCTTGCCCCACCTCCTTCCTGCCCTTTTTCCGAGGCCCCACCCCTGCTCGCTCCATTCTCCCTCCTGTGTCCTCACTCACTTTTATCAAGCTGGGGGCAGGGCTTTGTGTGTGGGAGGGGTTCAGGACTGGGGCCAGGATTTGGAATGCAGGCTACAACTGGGCACCGCTTACCACAGGTGGCTTCTGGGTGATGGTGCAGGTGGCTACGGCAGGCTCATCCCTACCCTGGCCCTATATCACTCCCAAAAGCAGCCAGCAAACTTTCCATCCCTGCCCCCTCTGCTCTGTGGAGATGGGGTACAGGCTGGAAGGGGGGCAGCCTGATATCAGCAACCCCCCCTTCTCTTTTTCCCATGTCCTGCACAGCAAGCAGGAGGCTCCCAGGGTGAGGGGGGCACCTCCCTGGCAGAGGGCAGGAGCAGCACGGCAGTGCTGGGAGGGGCAGTTGAAGTGCCGGCACTTGACAGCCTCCTGGCCAAACCTGTCAGGATCCCCTGTCAAAGGTTCCAGGATCAATCAGTAGATCCTGAAGTACTGGTTGGTGACCACTGGTTTACAGTTATCACCATCACATCTGTAAACGGATAAAAAAAGTCTTTAAAAGAACATTCTGGAATAAGATAAATGCTTGTTGGTTCCGTAGGCAGAGAAATCATGAATAATATTCACTTCCTTGCCATTTAAACATACGATGTCCTATATTACATATTTTACCTAGTAAGGGAGCTGTCTGATAATAGAAACACTTGCTGAGAGGAGCACAGAATAGTACACGTGACATCCAAGGACATCACTTTTCAAGTCTCAGTTCTCAGAACTCTTGGCAGTCAGTTTTCGGAGGATGAGGGGAAATTGATATGGAGGAGGAGGAAGACATGAGACCAGCAATCATTCATTTCACACCATTCTCTGACCTTTGTATTGCCTGTCCATTCCTGGGCTTGTTTTAGAATGAAGATTTCTTGGTTATGACAAGGATGATACCTGCTCTGCTTTCTGTTGTCCACAGAAAAAGATCCTTTGGGTTCAGAAAAATGAGGAGACACAGCAGGGCTTTGCGCTTGCAATACTCATAGAAATAAAACAGCTAGACTCAGGCCTGCTGATGGAGCAAAGAAGGCAATTGCCCAGGGCCCAGGCTATTTAACTGGGTCCCAGTTGCTGCCATGGTAGCTCTGCCTGCTCTGAGGAAAGCGTCTCTTGATTCAGACACTTCCGATATGCCTCATGCAGGTTCTGGGGAGGATTACTGGGCCCTGGAACCTGCATAGGGCCTATCACAAGCATCTGAATCGAGACGCTGCTGCGGCTTTCTCCCCGGGAGGCAAGTTGGGTTTGGGGAAAGGCAGGAAGGCAAGGTGCTGCTGCCCTAGGGCTCCTCCATGCATGTCGGGGATGAGGATGAGGGTGAGGATGGGCTGGCGGGAGGGTGGAGGCTGTGGCTCTGACTGAGGGAGGGGGATAGGGCGGGACATTGATTATTCTGTCCTGAGATCCAGAATTGCAATTGGTGGACTGGCTGGACATAATTCTGGGTGTGCAGTGGAAAGAGACTAAATTGTAATGTGGGAATGTTTCAGTGCTAGCTAAAATCATTTCTGTATTTTACAAAATTTGCTACACAATTTGGAGCAAAAGCTGCCGCCCGCTTTAGTGCGATATTCTGGTATTTCCCCCACATGTCCAGTGTTAGGAATGTGGATCCAACAATGGATTACTACGGTCTGCGTATTAAGGGAACAAAATGAAATCTGATGACAAAACCAATCAGAGTGAGGCGTTCTCAGAAGCTGGGAAATGGAAGGATAACACCGTAGTTTCAGCCTCATAGAGATGTTGAATAATTCACGTATCTTGAGTTCTGGAGAATGGCCTGCCGAGACTTGTATGTCCATCCAGCCCTCAGAGATTTGTTTTCCTCCTTCTCTTTCTACTTCAGTTCCCTGATCTCACTCTTCCGCTGCTTGTTTCCTCCTCCTCCTCCTCCTCCTATCTCACCTCCTGTCCTGCTTCAGCAACCTCTCCTGACACAGGAGAGGACTTTGTCTAACAACTCTGTCCTTTCTTTTGCATGCTGCCCATGAATTGTGGAAGCCGTGTTGGTGGAGTCTCATAACAGGTGTAACAGTACACCTGTGAAATCATATTTTACTGTTAGGTAGCCTACAATGTTTTGAACAATGCACTCCATGTTTTGCACACCTCTGTTGTAAATACTGCTCTTTGGTGACATGGTCACAAGGTTGCTAGTCAACGTACATTTCATTTTTCTTCATTGTGAATGATGGTCTAACAAGAGGTGAAGCAAAGTCATGAGTGAGCTGTGCATATTAAATTCTAACTTATGAAAAGTGGCATGCTGTACTGCCTGCAGCGCATATTTGCACACTCAGAGTTTATAGCAAAGTGAGCTATTAAGGCTGTGTACAGTCTCAGAAAACAGAAAAGGCCAAGGACTCCAGGTGGAAATAAACTTTCAGAAAGGAAAATGTATAGGTGTCTTAAAGTACATGAAGATAGTGACCTGGTAATAATCTTTGTCTTGGTGTTAAAATTAAAATGTATTTTTTCCCACTTAAACAAAGGTGTTTGGGGTTTTTGACATGCTAACAGCTGTTTTATAGATCTTCCAACTTGACTTCCAGTGATCAGAAAATATTAGTTATGTAAAAACTTGAAAAATCAAATAAAAATATACAGGTATCAAACACATTGCTTACTTACCTGTGCATTGATTTCTTACCTATGGAAGATGCACGCCTAAGTCAATTCCATTCCCTATCTCTGTTTCTTCTGTCTTTTAAAAGTGACATTGGAAAGTTCCTGGCTAGCTTGGCAGGCTTTTCTAGAAGGTTTCTCTTTCCAGTAAGCTTATAATTGTAAACCCTTCCTTCAAAATGATCAAAATGAGAAGTTAGAGAGGTTATGAAACAGCTGTGACTAGGGCCTTCCATGTTTACAGGCCAGTGCTTGAGAAATGGACTAACCGATGCTACTGTGATGAGTCATAGGAACCGAAATCGAACAAGGCATCAGTAGTGTTGTTAATGACAAGAAGAGGTGGGCTGTGGACAACATAAGAGATTAGATTGGCTAAGTAGGAAAGACAGAATTATGCAAAACCTGGAAGGTGAAGATTTGACTTGCTTGGAATTCAGAGAGATTAAATAGAAGTACAGTTGATCGCTTCCTTGCCAGTCACGGTACTGTCTGTCGTGTCAGCTTTTAGCCATTGCCTCTTTGAACCCAGTTGTCGTAATCTTTCTAAACTGTATGGAAATCTTTCCTGGTATTTGTTTGTTGTTCTTTTCCTTTACATTCTCCATTTTTGGTCTTGCCCTTGCTGAAGTGGGCTGGCCCAGCTGAGGAATGGTTTCAAATTGAAATATAATGTGTACTGTTGTTTTCTGCTGTAGATGTAGTAGACATCTGTATAATATATGATAATCAGCCATGGAACAAGTCTTCATTTTCTGTGTATGGACAGTAATTTCACACTTCACAGACACAATTCAATGATTTGCTGCAGTCCACTGCATACTAACAATTATTGTACACTAGAAAACTGTATAGAAAAACAACTTCAAATTATAGATATTAGGTGTTTCGCTTTTTTAAGATAACCCTTTGTGTTTGAGATTTTTTTTCTTTGCATTGATTAGATATTCTGAAAAACACGTCTCAAGACACACTGTATGTGGAAGAGACTTTGAAATAAATACAGGAAGTCCCCAGTTTATGAGCGGGTTGTGTTCCAAAAGTTTGTTTGTAAATTGGTTGTTTGGAACTCAAAAGACGTTTTCTCACAGAAACAGTGTTCTACATGGTGGTGGGGTTCCCAGGCTAGCCCACAAAAGCCTATTAAACCCATAACATAGCTGAATATAGTGTACATTTGCGAGGAAAATAGTAGAAAAAACTATTGCAATACCAGGAAGGAAAGCAGAAAACCAATACCAGTGACTGTCAGGGGGCTCCCCCCTGGTTTGGGGTTGCCACCCCCGTCCGGGGCATCACCCCGTCCGGGGCTCACTTGGGCCTAGGCCCAAAGTGCAATGCCCCTCTTTTAGGGGTAATACGGCCCACTGGCCTAGTCCCAAAGTATGCTGCCCCTGTATCAGGGGAAATACGGCCCACTGGCCTAGTCCCAAAGTATGCGGGCTCTGCGGCCTAGTCCTCGGGCCGAGCTCCCCACTCTCCGGGGTTCTGGGCAGGAGGGGTAGGGGGGCCCGGGCCCTCCCTCTCCTCCAGGCCCCGACCCAGGGCCCTATGAGTGGCGGGTGTCTCCCACCACTGGCTCGGCGGGGGGGTCCTTCCCACAATGCACCGAGCCCTCGGGCTTTTCCAGCTCCCTGCCCTGGGTCACTTCCTACCCCCGGCCCGTAGCGGTCCCACCTGTTGGCGTTGGTCGGGTGGCTGTTGCGACACTTCCCCAGTCGGTGTCGGGGTCAGCAGTGTCCGGTCTGGTGCCTGGGTCACGGGGGGTTGGCCGGCGGCTCTGTCGCTGGGGGCAAGCCTGGCTGGGGCTTGGCAGCAGC